TTCTACTACCCATTTCAAAATATAATGTGCCTCACTGCTTTTTTTTTGAAAAAATTTTGATAGGAACATCATAGAGATCTTCGGTTTTCACCATTCAAGAGAGAAGATCCGAAACCTTCGAAAATCCTCGCCAAAAACTTATCCAATTAGCCAATGAAATATTGATATTTAAAAAACAGTAGAGCATACCTTATTTTGAAATGGATAGTAGTTATTATTGTTAAGAAAAGAAGTCAAAAATACTGCGTTTCTAAACGTTTTGCTTTCACTATGCTTATTACAGATAATAAGATCATTTTTCTTATCGCTCAATATGGGTAAGATAAATGGATATAGTAAAAAATAACTTGTGTTGCTTTATCATTGTTTTTTGACGAATTTTCTTATATTTTTTGTTCCTAATACAAACAATTGAATGTCAATTATTATTAGTATAGAATAAGTCTTTTTTTCTTATTTAGAACTCGACAACAAGATTTCTATGATCAATATTCATCATCATACAATGATTCACATTATTGGCATGGAAATAATTCAAATTCATATGATTTGTATCGTTCAACACCGGTGAAAATTCCTCAATTTCAACATCCATCTCATATACTTTTACAACAAAATGGGTTTACTCAACAAGTTTATCTTAAATATAGATAAGAATGTCTTGGTAGTAAAAAAAAAACGTTGATTGTAGAGAAAAAAAAGATTAGTAGTTCAGTACATATTTACAATATTTCGAGAGAAACAAGCTACTGGTAAAAAAAGGATTGAAATTATATTGCATTGAACGGAAAAAAAGCTGAGTCTTTTAATGACTAAAGAAGAGTCGAATATATCGAGAAACAATAGCGAAAACTACTCTCCGGTAAAAATCATAGTCTAGAAAGACTTATATTCTTATTTACATGGCTTTGATTTTGGTAATTTAATAACATAATTTATCTTTTACCATATTTTTATCGTATAATCATAAATTTGAAAAGCAATAAAATAATCTTCAATGATTAAAAACACTCGGTAAACTTTATTATTTCATGGAAAATATTTATAATTTAAAATTATGTTGATTTACAAATAGAATACATTTTTTTTCTTATGATCTAATTTCTAAAGCGTGCTAAACTTGGTCTTGGTC